CACGTGGTCGCGGTAAATTAAGCATTATCAAATCAGCATTTATTGATTCTTTCCTAATCAAACTATTCAATCTAAGCGGTGGTTCATTCTGTAATAAATTAAATTAAATCAGTTAAAATTAAGTTAAAATTAATCATGAATATTACAACATTAATTAATCATGAATATTGGGAATATTAGGGTGAATATCAATTAAAATTAATCATGAAATATTTGGATTGAAATTTAGTGCAAAAACGAGTTTCAAATATTCAACATTTTTTATCTCCAATATTATTTTATTCAGAGTCAGTTAATTTTAACTTCTAAATGTATGAAAATTTGGTATCCACCTTATATATCCGTCGACTTTTTGATCTTTGTTCTTGTTGCATATTCTGATTAAGAGTTGAAAGTTTAGCGGCTAAAATCATCAGAAAAATGAGATTTCAAATCAAATTTGTTAATTTAAGGAAAAAAATTAGATAATGCTAAAACTTTATTTAATGTAGAATTTTTGCCCTCCGGTTTCCAATCTATTTTTCATTTAATTGTTAATTTGCTAAAAAATAAATTTTTCAGTTAATTGATGTTATTTCATTTTTTATTATATTCTTGATTATTATGTACGTGGTATAATGATAAGTCAGTTGAAATTTGAATCGAAATACATCAGTTAATTGATATAAATACTACAAAATATAAATATTTTAACAAATTAAGATAAATGACGGAAATGAATGTTTCATTCATACATTCATAAGCTGCAATATCATCGGGAGGAACCAATAGATATTCTATGCTATCGGCTTCCAACGATGCTTTATGAATCCGTTTCAAAACTTGCTCCTTAACAGCTTCAACTTCTGTTTCCTTAATCACCGCAAATATCCGAAGTCTAAATGACGCATGATTTTATCAAATGCGTTGTTCTGCTGAATTTTCACTATTTAAAAAAAAATCGATCGAAATTAACTAATGCAAAATTTGCATTATGCATGTATTAAATAAAACCTATTAAAATTGCAACTATTTTTCATTCAATTTTCGTTCATTTAATTTAAAAAAATGAATTTACATATTACTTTGTAAATGTCCACCGATAATTTCTACATATGACATAAATAAATGATAGCAAAAGATCATCGCCTTCCACAACCCACCAGAAATCCAATGTGGACTACAAATTTTCATTATTATAATAAGCCAAATTTAAAATTTCACGAAACAATGAAGCAGATTAAATTTTAAACGTTTGAAATTTAACATGCTGATTTTAAATTATGAGAAAAAACCATCCAGTTATCTGAAGAGTATGCTTATTGTCATTAATAATTGTTAGCAGCTAGCACTGACCATTGAATCAGCAATAATACATTAATAACTGTGAACAATTTGATCAGCATCCAATTTCAATCGATAGTTAAGCCAAAAAGAAATTAAAATGACAATTCCTTTGCTCAACAACTGTTTTATTAATTACTCACCAACCATTGTGATAAATTATTGATTATATCAAAGCATTTGATCATTAACTACCTTTAATTGATAATTAAAATAACAGCAAATTAATCAAATTTATCAACCATTTAAATAATTGATTATGTCAATAAGCCAACGATTGCTTAAATAATTGAAACTAACAGCCAAA